ATGGAGGGCGAGACAAATTTACTCATTTTCCTCTGAAAATTGTGTTTTGAGGAATTGATTTTGTATTTATTTGAGCTGGTGTGGTTTAATTTTAAGATCGGAGACAATGATTTCTGTATATTTTTTTCTGAATATAACTCCATTGCCTCTGATTGGTTGGATTTTGTTACGACGCTCTCTCGTGGTGAGCTGGTTAGATGTGGCAAAGTTGTGAATAAATTAACATTGACGAATCTGATAGGTTAAAATTTTCACCGCATGACTTTCCGCCCTCTCGTGGTGAGTTGTGTATTTGCATATCTTGTTTTGACTGGTTGTTGTTTTTGCCGCATAGATTTCTGATCTGTGCTTGAGGGATATGGATTTGCATATTTTGATTTGATTGGTTAGTGACGGTTCCGCATGATGATGCGCCCTCTTGCAGATGTGTGAACATTTGCATATCTGATCCTGATTGGTTGATATATGTTCCTTCCGTATCGGGTGTTACATTGCTTTTTCCGGTTCCACATCGGAGATCTGATTGAATAAATTCTTTGTACAGATTGTCGACTCCCCCTTGCTGTGCATCGGAAATTGGGTGTTTTCCTCCACCCTTCCCAATTGGTATAATTCTCTTTGAATTTATCCTGTCTTCCTCTAGATAAGCCCTGACTACTTGGATTTTTCCAATTTCTTCGGTTGGCGCTGATGTGTTGATCACCCTACATGCCTCATCGAAGTTTTCGATGGCTTTAACTACAAATTGTTCGTCGTATTTTGATGTAGGTGGTGCTTCAAATTTAGGACTTCTTGATAAGTAATCTGCCATTCCTATTTTAGCTCCTGCTATGTGAGAAATTGTATATTTGAATGGTAGCATTCTGTCTGCCCATCTGGTCAGTCTGGATTGATATGTCTTGTTGCCCCGATTTTCTGTTAATGCTGTAACTATGGCCTTGTGGTCGGTTAAAATTTGGAATTGGTTTCCTAATAAATAATTTCTGAAAAATTCACATGACCATACCACCGCGAGTAGTTCGAGCTCGTTAGTGCTGTACTTTTGTTCAGCTGCATTCAAAAATCTTGATGTGAATGCGATTGGTACCCATTTGTCCGGTTCCAATTCTTGCTCTAATGCAGCCCCCAATCCTTTGTGACTAGCGTCACATTTAATCCTGCACTGTTTGGTGGCATCGTAATGGTGCATTTTTGTTATGTTTGCAATTAATTCAAGGGTTTTTTGGAATGCATCGTTTGCTTCTTCACTCCAACTGAATTTTTCCTTGTTATCCGCCTTCAATGATGGTCGGAATGGTTCGGTGTGTTTTTGGAGGTTGGGTATCAATCTAGACTTGTGATTTAATATGCCCATGAATGATCTGAGTTGTTTCAGAGATTTTGGCGGTTGTAACGCCATTACTGCTTCTATTTTCGAGTGTTTTGGTCTAACTCCTGTCTCATCTATCTCGAATCCCAGCCAGATTAATTTGGTTTTTGAGAATTCACATTTGCTGAGTTTTAGCGCAAATCCTTCTTTGTCTAATCTTGACAGAACTTTTTCGACTGTTTTCATTGTGTTCCTTGATTGAACCTTTTGATACTATTGAGATGTCATCTAAGAAGCAGAAGACTCCTTGAATTCCTTGGATTGTATTACCATTGCCTTCTGGAATTCCTTTGGCATGTCTGTTAGTCCGTAAAATCCGGTTTTGAATCTGTACGTTCCGTTGAATTCCCCGCATACGATGCTGAAGTTGCAGTGTTTGCTCACGGATTCATCTAACGGGAGTTGGCTAAATGCGTACTTTAGATCTAGTGACGTAAACCAGACCGTGCCCTCTGTCTTGGCTGTAATTATTTGAGCTGCTGAGTCGAGTAGTTCTAATAGATTTGGCATCTGAAATTTATTTTTGTAGATCTGTGAGTTCATCGGTTTTGCGTCCATTGCTAATTTCACTGTGCCGTCCTTCTTTGCTGTTATGACTACTGGAGCTACGAAATGATCACTTGTGCATTTATCAAGTTTTACTATGTGACCTTCTTTAATGAGTTTCTTGATTTCCGCTCCCACTTTGGTTTGAATATGGATTGGTACTCTTCTGCCCTTCTCCTGAATTGGGATCAAAGGTGATTTGAATGAAGTAAATACCTTGTGGTTCTTTGAGCGTCCCAGTCTATGGAATACATCATTGTATTTCTTAGTGAAATTGTTCTTCCAAAAGGTCGATTCGTCTGGTTCATTTTCTTGCTCTTCTGATATTGCATATATTGAGTTTTTGGGTGGTTTGAGTTGAGTTGTTACTATTCCCAGGTCTGGCTGGATGTCTAAGCCTAATAGACATCTGGTTCTATTCTCGGAAATTAGGAATTTTGCTCCTTGTAGTTTCCATCCATTTGAGTAAATGTCGATTTCTAATATTCCGAAGAGTTTTATCGGTTTGTGGTTGTAATCTACGTACGTTGTGGATAACGGATTTTTATCTAGCGATATTATCTTTGCGTTGGGGTCTTTCTGTAATAGAGTTTCTGCTGTACGTTTGTTTACGAATGATGCTGGGCTTCCAGTGTCAATGGTGGCGCTAAATAGTGAGCCTCTTGTTTTTAGCGTTGTTCTTAGACACTTAGTTTTCCCCGTTGCAGAGTTAATTACTTCTAGATTCTTGACTATTTCCGTTTGTCGTGATGTTTCCGAGATTTTTAGGACTGAGTAGTTTTTTTCACTGTCTGAATCTATGAAGTTGCAATCCTCTTCTTCGTCCGGATCTGGTTGTTCGACATTGGCCACTTGATTGCTGTTGCAGCATTTTGCAAAGTGTCCCTTTTTCCCGCAATTTCTGCATGTTGCTCCTCTGGCTTGGCATTTTGATTTGTGCTCGGGTGTGAATCTTCTCCCACAGAAATAACATGGTTTAGATTGGGTGTTCGGCTGGTATTGCTAATTCTTCGGTTTAAAATTTCCCTTCCCTAGCGCCCTATTCATTCTGCTTTGGACATTGTTCTTCGATTGGATGGACATCAGTGGTTCTTGTTTGACCCGAAACTGGTTGGATGAGTTTGTGAAGTTCGCTGAATTGCTCGTTGTAGATGGGTTCTGCTTTTGGAGAGTGCTCGCTGTCACATATCCCTTCTCCTGAAGTAGTGCCGATTTTAGGGTATCATCTACTGTGGTTCCTGGTCTAATGCAGAGCTCTCTTTGTATGTCAGAGAATCTCATTTTTGCAATGAATATGTCGCGAATAACTTCCTTCTCTATCTCCTCTGTCCATCCACATTTTGAAGCTTGACCTGCTAGGCGGAGGTAAAATGATTCGAGGCTTTCCCTGTCCCCGTGCGATGCGTTGTAGATTTGCATCCTTTCAATGATGTAGTTCTTTTCCCGCTTGAATAGTTGTTCACAAGCATCGTGGAAAAATTTGAATTTTACCGTGTTTAGGTTGGTATGTGCATGTTGTTGGAGGAATCTTTTCTTCCCTTCGTTTCCCAAGGCGAAGAATAGTCTCGACTTTATTCTTTCATCTGCTTCGTGATAGTATACGTTTGGACTTATTTTGGGTCCCTTCTTTCTTCGTTCTTCGTTCGCTTCATTTGTTTTCCTGATTGCAGCTTCATTTCTTGCGGTTCTGCTGTCCGCTTCTTCTGTTGTTTCAGAATTTGGAATCTGTTCAGGTTTTGGTGGGGGGTCGTCGTGTACTTCTGCCGGTTCTGTAGGATATTCGGGTCACAATATCCTAGGAAGTAGGATATTCGGGTCACAATTTTCTTTGAGTGATACGGCGAGGAAAAATTGGCCTATCCACACCTCCCAAGGATATGGAGGCTCGGCTGACGGTTTACCCCAGAACGAAGGGACTCCTAGCAGTTCCGTCCTATCTTCGGAAGAAGAAACTGCTGGCTGCGCCATGTGATAATCCCTAAATCTTATTCTGAAACTAGACTAATAATACAGTTGAATTAATAGTAAAGTTAAATAAGTGGATATGTATCAGTGAATAGAAGATAACTATAATCTCTCAACAGTTAACGAAGAGTGAGTCTGAGTTTTTAGCACCATCGAGTTGTTAGAACAATCAGTGTGATTGACAGGTCTTTAATTAGTGTTATTCAAATGATCTCTAATGTTAATAATAATAAAGTATAACGTCCTCTATCTTAGGTGGTCTACTCACTACCACCACACGTTTAAGCAGATACATTAGGATCTTTACCGAAAATTTTGTTTATGTGTTCCTTACAACTGGTGGTAATTAAATGTTGTTAATTAAGACCGTTAAAGTTTTGTTTCTTGTAGTACCGTTGCGATCTCGGGGTGACAAAAGTGTCCCTCTGTCAGTTACTATGAGGGACATCTTACTACTTTAGTAATTTACGAGTTGCCTATGTTGCAAGGTTTTGAGCAATTTCAAGTTAATGAATTTTGTTTTCAGTTAGTAAGTTAGTTTGTTCTGCCCATAGACATACTTTTATTTCAGGCCAGTCTCGGAGAGTGGGAAAACTTTTTGAACTTTTTAGAGCCAATTTTTACTACGTCAAGGAAAGTTCGTAGGAAGTCACATTAGTATCATATTGGAATCATTTTGGTCGTGACTCAGATTCTTCAAAATCTGAAAGCTGGCTCTATACCGAAAACAACTAGTCTGAATATTAAAAAAGGGCAGAAATTTAGTAATGAAGGGTTAAGAGACTACTCTCAATTTTTTTTTAAAATTTTTTTTCATTGTTTTAGCTAATAATGCCTCATTTTTACAGTTTTTGAACAATTCAAACGCTGTTTGCTAAAAAAAGTAACAAATGCCAGGGCTTGAACAGGCGAAAGAGAACATCATAATTTTATTCGGTTTTCTTGCTTATGGACACTTTGCACATTGGTTTTTAGCACAAAATCTCTGATGACAATCTGGAGAATGTTAAGTTAAGTTTAATTTTAGCCGGCTGTGTCAATTTGGCTGTTTTGCTTGGTTGTGACAATTGATTTTTTAATAGCTCTACAAGACGTGAAAGTGGTGGTGGAGTTAGCTAGTATGTCTGCTGGTGAAGACGGATACGACCTGGATAAAGTCAAGTGTCTCCACGACGCTTTGTTTGGCTACGCACCCTTCATCTACGAACTCAACTCAGGCAGTAACTGGAGCGACGTGAAATCCGCTTACCTAAAAGTTTTCGCAAAACTTGAGACCGATCCACGTTTGCCCGAAAAGTACAAAGACAGCGCCCGACATTTGTCATGGTTCGAAAAAGCACTCGAAAATCAAGGCTCAGTCGAAAAAAGCTCCCTAGAGAAGGCGTTTCAAATTAATAACACCGGTGTCTATATAGTGCGATACTCGCCCCAAATGGACCAAAAACGCAAAGTGCTAATCGAGCCTGAAGATGCAGTGATGTTGCATTACAAAGAAGAAACGAAATCAGCTGACGGCCAAGTGACCGAAGAAAACCGAGAATTGAATTTAGCCGAATTGCGAGATCTTCTCAGTCGGCTAATGCTGATAGTCGGCAAAGAGAAACACGAACATGCGCAAAGTGTTGACATTTTCATCGCGACTTTCCAGAACATTGAACGGCTGACATCGTCTTTTGTGACTTTGTTCAATTCTGGATGTGATTTTTTCAATGATTGGGCTGTTCATATTAGAACGAAAACCGACGGTACACTATCTGCGCTGGAGATCAAGTTAGGCGAAACAGGGAAAAATTTGTACTCAAATAACCGAAACACGAATCAGGAACTTTCAAATCTCTGTATTGCATTGGAGTCAATTAAAGATAAATGGGAACAAAACGTTTTTGCCATGCGGTGCCGACTCCCAATTTTGAACGAATTCAATATGCAACAATTGAGTGCTCTTTGCTCGGGTCTGGCAAAACTCAAACGTAACAGAACACAAATTGACGAAACTACCAAATATTACCTGGAGTCCATCAACAAAACTATCACCAAGAATGACGTTGTTGAGTTCTTGTATGAAAAGTACGATGACGATAGCATGGAAAATGAAGACATAGAAAATGAGGCAATTACCTTAGAAGAACTCACAAGTAAAGCTCACGTGGACGAGAGAAGTGGTTGGCTCAATTTAATTGATAGCTTGAGGAGCCATGCCAATGACAATGAAAGTTTAGCCAAGGCTGGAATCCAAGCAACTCGAGATGCTACTGATGGATCATGGAGCAATTTCGACGAAGGCGAAGCGATGAATTGGATCATGGATAATGAAGACGAGAAAGAGATCATTGAAAACTTATCGCGGAAGTTTGACGATCATATTGCTTCCTTAGACAGAACTGAAACTACTGGAGCCGGTTTGGACAAGAGTGGAAACAAAGTTGATCTCGGCGAGTTTGCGCAAAAGATGCAATATGTTTTTGACAAATATTTATCAGGCATGAGAGAAAACTCCTTGGAAAATTACGTGAATCTTTTCCAACTTGGGTATGTCCTGAATAGGTGCGTGGAAAAGAAGCTGGAACATGAAAACACACCTGCTTATTTGAAGTATCCTGAGCATCTGAAACTGGGGAAGCCAAACTTGGTAATTTGTGAAAAGCGCTCTGAAATTCTTCTTTACATTATGTCATTGTACAGTTTCGTCTCAAGGCAGAAATTACCGGACTATAACCAAGTTTTGCTATGCAGTGCAAGAACATCTGTTGGGGAAGTTGAAACCTTCATGCTCCGTGCTATGCTGGATCCACAAAACAAAGTGTATTCAATTGCCTTTGCAGACGATCTGAGTCCTACGTGTGCAGATCAAATGGAGAAATTGTTGTTCGAAAAAATAAAGGATCCGAAACCATCCTACAAGTTGATAGTGTTTAATTGTGACGATAGTAGCCAAGTGTCGGTGGCGCTGGAGAAATTTAAAGCGAGGTTTGTAAAAGAATCGGAAGATGATTTGAGAAGCTATCTGTGTGGCAACTTGAGAGCAGCCGAAGACACAATAGACATTTTCAGAGTCCGACTGATCACTTCCACCCAACCATCTTCAGGTATTTTAAATTTACAGATTTTACGAGGCGAGTGTCAAGAGTTGATTAGATTCGATGATGGTCTGGTTATATGTCCGTCATAAGTAGGTTAAGCGTTGTTGGTGTAATGTGTGATCCTAGTCACTTCCTCTGGGGACTGATCCAGGATTTTCGCAAGGACGGATAATTTGAATAATTATATTTTCTACTTAGCTTTTTTACTTTATCTTACTAAATGGGGCACCCTAAAAAACCAAAATGCCTAATGAGTTGAGTACTCGAGCCCCTCAGCCGCGCCCCTTTCTTAAATATCTGGTCAGGGGCGGATTTAGGGGGGCGGTGGGCGTCGGACCCTCCCCCCCCCCCCCCTCAGGGATTCGATCCCCTGCCGACCCAAAGGGTCGCCCCTTTGTACTATTTTGAGATATCCATATTTGGTGACGGACCCTAAAAATTTTCTAAAGGCGCCTTGGGCGCCAATCTATACTTACTTTAAGGGGGGAGCGCGCGCCAAAAAAACACAATTTTTTTGGTCAAAATTTTCTAAAAAGTGCCTAAAAACGCCTTTTTTGGCCTGTTTTCAAAATTTTGCCTGTGGCGCAATGGACCAAAACAGGGTCTTTTTAGTGCTTTGGGAGAGCTCGTAAAATCAATTAGGTCGATTTATTAAAAAAAAAGGTCGACGAAAATTTTTGATGAAAATGCGCCCCCCCCCCCCCCCTCAAGAAATTCCTAGATCCGCCCCTGTATCTGGTAGTTTTTAGGTAAATCCTTGCATATCGACCGCCTGGAGAGTGAAACGAAAGAGAAATGCAGTCGAAGCTCACACGCCATCCTCCGTCTCTACGATCGAAATGTGGACTTCGAAAGAGTTCTGGACTTTCTATGGCGACACAAAACTGTATCTGTTCCCACAATCATTCATTTGGACGTGTCGCCTAATGTAGGTCAACTTTCGTATCTTGCGGTCAATCTTGATCCATGTTTGGCACCATGTTTTTTTTTGCAGATTTTAGGTCAAAACCAGATCTGATATTTTCCCATTTCCGTAAGACTGTGAAACAGGACAGTTCAAATGAAATTTTAAGAAAGCGGCGCATTAGAACTCGTTTTAAAAGATTTTTTATAGATCTGATGATGAAAGATAAGATGGTGTTACTTGTAGGAAAAAATCGAAAACCAGACATTTATTTCAGCTTCCCAAACTCGAAAAAAATTATTCGCGAAAGCTATTGTTAATTAGAGTCGATGAACGCCAGGTCACGGTGATTTTTTTTTGTTTAGGAGTCGATGAACGTATTTTAGACTCTTAAAGATCTTTTGATGATTTTTTTGTTTGTTAAGAGTAATGAACGTTGTGAGTACTCTTATATAGGTCTTGCAGATTTTTTTTTGTTTTTTTTTTTTTATTAAGAAGTCATAAAATTTGCTCACGCTCAATTTTGCTTTTTCGCGGTTTGACTTGTGATTTCTTTTTAAGTTCAATGCATTTCCTTTGCTAAAGGAAGGCAAACTCCACTATCGCGCTGGAAAATTGTAAAGGTCACGAAAAACGTGATCGACTTCTAGTTTCGAAAATGAAATTAGTTATCAGATTTCCCAGCGAAATATAAGTTTTACCAATTGATCCAGTTTTCTCAAATTGGGTTATTTTGGTGAAAGTTTCCATTATAAATTGTTCGACAAGTTAAAAGAGCTTTAAGGCTATCTATTTTTTTCTTTGAATTTTGAAAGTTGAGATTGTTTCAAAAATTATATCAAAACTGTTTTTGTTTACTTGCGTTCATTAACTTTTTTCCTCATTTCTGTTGGCTCTGTTTAATTTTTTCAAGTTATTATCTCAAGCATGTCTGATCACTAAAATAACTATCGGCTGTAAATTGACAGGTGATGGAAAATGTGGACGAGTTGCTGTTCAAACTGTGTGTGCTGGGCGGTCTAGCAGATGAGAGGGGAAAGCTGTTCTTAGCCAAAGACAATTTTTGCCTAGCCGTCGAAATGCTGACACCACAGGTAAAATTTACTGTTTCTCTCTCCATACTTATTTATGATATGGTTGTTGTTGTTACTACCATTGAAAATGGGGAGGAACTTTGTATTCGGGCATTACGAGGCCAAACTGTGCACTGGATAGGCGCTCAATTTTGTTTTCTGTAAGTCACTGGAATCCAGTGACAAATCTTTAAACATGTTCCAAAGTGTAAGTGGATTATACTCTCAAACTTTACGTCGAATCAGCGCACAAATAACTGTAACGTAAAATAATTTATCCGCATATTAGTTTTTTCGCGGATTCCGCATCGAGCGAATATATCCAGTTGTTCCGGATTCCGCAAATGTAAGCGGCTTTCGCAAATGTCCGCGGATTTCCCAAATTTATGCGGATTCCGTTTAAAATTTGCGGAATCCGTGTACAATTTACCGATTCCGCTGACAATTTATGACAGCATTATTTTACTGTACACACATATTGTTTTTTGTTCGTGGATTCCACTAATTTTTCCTGATTTGGCACTTTTTATTCAGAATTCCGAAAATTTTGTTGCGGAATCCGCAAAATCACTTCTTTTTGGAGCAACTTTGAGCGATAGTGTTTTAGCTATTGGTTCGCGGAAACCAAAAAAGAAAAAAGATCAAAGAAAAATAGCCATCTTGCAGGTTCCTTTATATGAAAATTTCGGCGTAAGAAAAATTAATATCGACTTTAAGTCGTAAAAAAACTGATCTTACTATGGATAAGGAAAAGTAATTTTGGGTGTTTAATTTAGTGCTTTAGTCTTTTATAGACTTTTCGGCGTAATTTAGTCCTTTATAGATTTTCAGTGTAAAAAATTGATTTTACTATAGATAAAGAAAACTAATTTTGGATGTTTGATTTAGTGCTTTCTTGGTAACAAAGCTTTTCTAAAATTATATTTATTACAAAGTTTTTGTGCAAAATATGAAACAAATAATTATATATTTTTTTCATTTTTTGTTTGCCATTTATTGTTTCGTTTCGAAAACAAATGTTGTTGATTTTGTTAACTAACGAAAGTCTTTTCCTTCAAATGTTTTTTCATAAATTTGTCGGTTTTGTTAGCTAACAAAAACCATTTCCTTCAAATATTTTTTAAACAAATTTGGTCAGAAAATTCTGAGGTACTTGCACAGCAACCGGCTATTCTTGTTTAATTTTGTTATTTGCGCTTTCTAGTTGGTTCTTGTTTTTTTTATTGAACTTATTTAGTTCCTGCGGTTTTGTTCAAGAGTTCCCTAGTTCATGAATTTGTTCGTTTAAACCATAATTTTGTTCACGTTTAAATTTTTTGTTTGCGTTCAAATTAAGTAATGCTCTAAAATAAAAAGTAATGCTTCAATAGGTACAATGCAGTTGGCGTGCAAAACCTGGGTGACTTTAAGTTTCATTAGTAGTTTTTAATTTCACGACTTTGCAGCTAAGGTATTGATACAATTTCCTCAAATTTTGTCAGTTTTATCAAAAAAGTGTCAATCATTAGACTCATTTTCAAATTGAAGCTCTTTGTTTCGAGAATGGAAAAAAACCTCTCCTTGCCCTACTTGAAAAACTGATCAGCTTATTATTTGGTTTGGCTGGAGCCAACATTTCAATCAAAAAAATCTCGTGAACTATTGTTGGATCTATCAAGTTTTTTTGTTATTTCCTTCGAGTATAACACCATTTTTGACCTACCAGCATGTTTTCAGCGTATAAATTGCAAAACAAAATACGAGAGGGGAATGGTCGCTGTTTAGGGTACACAGGATTTTTTCATGACAGTTATTACTACATTGAAAATCATCATTAAAATCATTGCTGTACACACGTTTTGTGCACCTTTTCACCGTGACATGGAACAGACGCAGACTATAATATGCTTTCTAAGTATTTTGATTAACCTTTTAGTTTTCGTAAAGACAGAAACAAGGATAGCCCATTGCTTAGCAATTAGCAAAGAATGTTTCGACCCTATTCATAAAAAAAACAAAGTTTTTAAAATTGTTTTAGTTTGCAGCAGTGTCGTTTTTTGAGCGTTGTGTAATGAAAAAGTTTTAAAAAGTTATGCAAATTTTCGGCATGTTACAATTACAATTACATTTTCGGATGAATGATATTTTAGAATGATTCCCATTGGAAGCCCCTGTGCAGTTTAATGCCATGTACAGTGTGTCTATCGCCCAACCAATGTCTCCAGGATAGCGAGGCGAAAACTGATTTCAAGCGCGTCATTGGCCCAGATCCAATTCTCATCCAAAGTCCAGAGTTCCAGAGATCATATCACTATCTGGACGCCTTCAATCAAAACAGAGATCTGTCTCTCTACACTTACCAAGGCGAAATGGAAGATGGGCGCTTAGTGATTGAGGTTATCAAGCGAAACAGTGGGCTCAATAATCCCACTTGGGCGCAGCTGTCCTTCTTTGCTAGGTTCTTGAATCAGCAATTAATTGCTTGCGAACAGAACTTTTTTGTCGGATCTGGAGAGTTCGAAGGCTTCAAAAATTTCTACGTAAAACACTGCTTAATTGAAATGGCACAAGACTTTGCACTGCCTAGCTTAAGCATCGCTGACAACTCGCCCCTTTTTGGTCTAAACGAGAGCGCGAGAAACTACGAAGTTCATCAAATTCGAAGACGATGGGAAAACTGTCCACATCCTTATGTTTTTATCAATTCAGACCAAATGACCTTCACGTTCTTAGGAGTGCGCATTACTAATTCTAATTTGCAAGACTGGAAGGGGAATGTGTTAGCCAGAAATGTCATGAGCGCTGATCTTCAGAAAAAGATAAAGCGACAAGCTTTCGATGAAAAGGACGTTTTGGACGAAAACTTTGACGAACTTCAAGTGAACGTGAAACAAATGAAACTCTGTCGAGTTATAGGAGTGGAGCGAAACCGGATCCTCTTTGATCCAACGTATGAACTTACCCAGGATAATGTCATGAAGCTGTTGGCTATTTACATGCGGTTCAGATGCAACATTCCAGTGGTTATCATGGGCGAAACGGGCTGCGGAAAGACGAGGTTGATCGAGTACCTTTGTAACATTATGGCTAGAGGAGAGAATGTGGAAAACAAGAAGTTCGTGAAAGTCCACGGTGGAGTTACAATGCAAGACATTGTGCAAAGCATAGAAGATGCTGAAAAGTTAGCTATCGCGAACACGCGAAAATTTGGAGACGGATTTTACACCGTCCTTTTTTTTGATGAAGCAAATACAACAGAGGCGATATACGGAATCAAAGAAGTTATATGTGATTTCAGTGTGAATGGTCGAAAGCTGGATCCAAAGTCGGGACTAAAAGTAATTGTTGCTTGTAACCCGTACAGAAAACACGATGATAAAATGATCAAGAAACTTGAGTCCCAAGGACTGGGATACCATGTCAAGTCCAGTGAAACAAGTGACAAGTTGGACTCCGATATCCCGATGCGTCACCTTGTCTACCGAGTGAACCCGTTGCCGCCAAGTTTGTTGCCGCTGGTCTGGGATTTTGGTCAACTGACAAGTGAAGTGGAGAATAAGTATATCAAGCAGTTAGTGTCGAAGCGAGCTGCCGATATGCGTCTCATTGAAGCCGATGTTGATTTCATCTGCAACCTTCTGAGCTGTTCACAGAAATTCCTACGAGAAAACCGAGACCAATGTCTTTTTGTGAGTTTGCGAGACATCGAAAGGGCCATGACTGTACTGCAATTTTTTTACTCGCAAAAAGAGATGCTTTTGGCTAAGATGGATGAACTTGATTTGAATTACAACAGTGAAGAGGATGATGATGATGATGACAGCGCAACTGATGCCATCAATGAGATAGCTAGATTGATGATTCTAACACTTGGAGTCTGTTATCATTCTTCCTTAGAGGAACGATCGAAATATAGAAAGACAATCACCGGGTCTTTCAAAGGTGCCTATAAATTACCCAATGGAGACAAAACTATTTTGAACGAACTGGAAAATTGCATGCAAGTGTTTTTACAAAACATCCAGCTAGATGCTAAAGCAAACATTGCCAAGAACCTGGCTTTGACCGAAAATGTATTCATGATGATCATTTGCATCGAGCTAAGAATCCCGTTGTTCCTAGTAGGGAAACCAGGCAGCTCAAAATCATTGGCCAAGACGATTGTGATTGATGCTATGCAAGGAGAGAGTTCCAGGAATGAGTTCTTCCAGATGCTGAAACAAGTTCAGATGCTCTCATTTCAGTGCTCACCTCACACGCACGCAGATGGTATCATCAGTATCTTTAAACAAGCAGCCCTGTACCAGAAAGGCAAGGAGTTGAAGCAGTTTGTAAGCGTGATTGTCCTCGATGAAATCGGGTTAGCGGAAGACTCGGCCAAAATGCCGTTGAAGACCTTGCATCCTCTTTTGGAGGAGGGGTTCGTAGAATCCAGATCAGTGAAGCAGGACTGGGGAAAAGTTGGCTTTGTGGGAATTTCGAATTGGGCCCTTGATCCAGCCAAAATGAATCGGGGAATTTTAGTCAGTCGAGCAATTCCGAAATCAGAGGAGCTGGTCAAAAGCGCGAGGGGTATATGCCGAGTAGAAATTGAAGGTAAACTACTAGAAAAGTTCATTCAACCATTGGCCGACGCTTACGAAAAAGTATATAAAGCTCAAATGAAAGATGGACACGCGGAATACTTTGGGCTGCGAGATTTCTATGGATTGTTGAAAATGCTCTACAGGGTGCAGATGAAACAACATCAGAGAACTCTGAGGTGGGATGCTGTTCGATGTGCGATTAGACGAAACTTCGGAGAGAAGAACTGTCGATATTTGCAAATTTTTGCGGATGAATTGAGCAAAAAGCAAGCATTTGAAGATGCAAGTGTAAACGATGTTGTTGAAACTTTGGAGTTGGTTCACCAGAACATCGAAGAAGCGGACGAAAGATCAAAACTGACTGAAGAGAAAAGAAACTTAGACAACGAAAGTCGATACCTGCTGCTGATGACAGAGAACTTTTCGGCTCTTCAACTGTTGCCCCAGGTCTTGAAAATAGAAGACTACGAAGTCATTTTTGGTTCATCGTTCCCCCAGGATCAAGAATATATTCAGGTATGCAAGAACATCAACAGAATAAAAGTTTGCATGGAAACAGGAAAAACGGTTGTGCTTCTGAATTTGGGATCTCTTTACGAGTCCCTTTACGATGCTTTGAACCAGTATTATGTGTATTATGGAGGAAAAAGGTACGTTGATCTTGGCTTAGGCTCCAATCGTGTCAAGTGTAGTGTTTCTGAGAACTTCCGACTCATTATGATTGAAGAAGAAAAATTAGCCAGAAATTTCCCTATTCCTCTTTTGAACCGTCTGGAAAAACACTTCCTGGGAATGGAATCAATCCTCAACACAAAATTGGCTAAGTTACGACAAAAACTATCGGAAAACTTGGAAGAGTTTTCGGATGTTCCGAGAACCGACAAAGAAGGCTCGTCATTCCATGTCCGCGACGCTTTCATTGGTTACCAAAAAGATACGACGGCCTGTGTTTTAATCCAGGCTGAAAATTATGTTTCTGAAAATGCGACGAATGAAGAACTTCTAAAAGCAGCTAGTCTTAAACTGGTTCAAACGTGCTCGATTGATGCCATAATTCGATCAAGGTCAGCCGTCTCATCTTTCAACTCACATGACCTGAAGGAAATTTACAGCTCTCAAGGACGCAATAGCTTGTCTGACTTCTTGTGGCAGCAATGCTACAACAAGAAATCTAAAGCCTTGATCGAAGTTTCGACATTCTGCCGAATTCCGTCGGCCAAAAACATGAAAGACTGTAATTTGATCCTTATGAAAAGAGAGCAGACGCTAGTGTCACAGGAAAGACATTTCGTGATTAACTTGAATGTATTCAAAACTGAAATCGAATTTGCCGAAAGAGTGGAAGACTTTTACCGAATGGCGGCTAAACATCCTGATTTGACTAAAATACTTTTTGTTACATGCTCGAGAGGTCAAAAGTTTGTCCCGCTGATTGCGTCAGCAAAATACAAACTGCAGAATTTGCATACTGATTGCAAGATTCCAAACTTGTACCTTTTGTTCATAGTTGAGCTCCCGAGGAACTGGTACGAGTCAGACTACAGCAGCTTCTCAGTTGGCAATTGGGAGAGTTTCCACATCGATGAGCTCCTAAGAGACGAAGAATATCAAGGCCTTCCGAGGTTGCTATCTCTCAAGGTCAGACGTTGAAAGATCTGTTTGTCCTTGAAAATGGAGAGTGCACTAAATTCCAGAAAAAGTTGCTATGTGAGGTTGTATATGACGCGATTGGCGATGCAGACGAAGGTGATAAAGTTCAAAGAGTGGTAAATGTTTCACGATTGTTTGAGCAACATCATGTTCCAAGTTTGGAGATAATTTTCCTCGAAAAAGTGAGTGCTTTCATCGAGGAATCAGAAGAAAAGGAACAGATTAAAGAATGGGTCGCACAGAAAGCGGCTAATTTGCAAGGTTTGATTGTTGCAGGAACAATTGAGAACGCCTTGTTCAAAGAACTTCAAGCGAAGATAAAACCTCATTTGGCGGATTTCCTGAAGTTGATTGACTTTAACAACAACATAAAACTTTTATTTGAAGGAAACTGGAGGAAACAAGCTTGGATGAAACTTTTCAACGTGAAAGAACTATGTCGACTGAGACCTCAAAATCCGAATGAAGTCAAATTTGACTCTTGTTTCCCGTTCAGTACTGAAATTATTGACAAATTGAACTCGATGTGGATCGATTCTCTGGAAAACTATGCCGATTCTGAGCTCGAAGATTGGCAGTTTTTTGTGGAGAGGTTTAACAATCAGGGAAGGGAACTTGGAAATGAGTTAACTGAGATTTCAAGCGAAGAAGATGCGGTCGATTCATTTGTTCACGACTTGATCTTGAACGAGTTTTGGTCAATGTGGAACAACAAATATGTTCAGGCCGAACATGTCAAAATGATCAAAAAGGCTCTCAAATCAATCATGAAGACTAACTTGCCCGAATTCGAAAACCCTACGATAGCTTTTGCTTTTGCGCACTTCAAAAAGCTTTTGCCTTGTCTGTACAACATATCCACAGTTCTGAAGTTTTTTGGATCATTCAAAATTGGAGACCCGGAAACCCCTGAGCAGTTCGTTTGCATGATAACCCAAACAGCTCTAGAACAAACTAAAACGATGGCTGAAAAAATGAAGCCGGCCAATATTGATCTTCAAACGATTCAAGAGCTAGACCAACAAGTGTCCGTTTTGAAAATGTGCTCTGGAATTGAACTCGACGATGATAAGTTCAAACTCAAAAAATTAACAATGCTTTCAACCTATATGTCACAGATTTCGCACAATCTTGATGATGCAACTGCCAAAATGGCACGCACAGCTTCCGATACGCTCTATAAAGCTGTGAGTTCAAAAACTGCAGATGAATCAATTTTCGGAACCGATCTTTTTCGAAATCGATTGCTCATGTGCTTGAATCGATCCGCGGACACAGTTATTCAATATTGCGTCGAGACAGAAACTGGTCAACGAGACTGCGCATTTTGCAGAAAACCAGTAACTGCGAAAGGAGCAATACCTTTCTCACTTCCATGTACTGGAGGTCACGCAGTGCATGAGTCATGCTTGACTGAGAGAATGGAAAGAATAACACAAGGCGAAGCGGTGGTCACCTGTGGTTTCTGCCAGCATAGCCTCGAGTCTCGGTTTTTACAGGCAAATACCATGTTTGCGTGTCAAACTGAGCCTCAAAAATCGAATTGGAAACAGTTTTGGCTGAATATTTCGAATGCATTTCTTGGAATCGTCAAAGAAAACGTAATCGCTATTTGCGATGAAGATACGCTGAAAAAGTACTTGGAAATTTGCGTTGTTCCCAAAAGTAGAACCAGCAAAAAAGATACGCCATGGATCACTGATCAGACCAGACAGAGTCTTCTGACGTTTATTGCGACAAGTGAAAAGAGTGAAAATTTGGACGAAATTCTAATGGCGATTATAAACCAGGACAAAGAGACCGGTGCCAATGAAATTGATCTCGCCCGAACATACGATATGCTTCTGTCAGTTTTCGATTTCGTTTACCTCAATGAAAGTCTTCAAGCTACGAATGATTCTATTCGCGAAGAGATGTCTAGCGTTAATCAAATCCGATTAGTCGCCAAGGTGAAAATTGAACTATCAGAGTTTATCATCAAATCAGTTGTACCCAATGCGGATAAAGGACCACAAGGACTCACAGACTCAGTTCCTAGGTTGGTTACAGAATTTTTAAACAATGCGGGAGAAAGTGCCGAATGTGTGAAACGATACTTTATTCAGTGTTTATGCCGTGATCATAGAATGGACCTGTACCAGCGCGTAAAGACATTCCCTCAACTTGCGCCCCTGATCCCAGAAATTTTGTTCACTTCACAGAGCCAGGGATTTTCAGATATTTTCCTCATCTTTGGAGATGCATATCAAATGCCTTTCAGCGAAGTATATACTAGTTTGGTCACCGACGCTAACAAAGGTCTTCGAAGGCTTAGTCAAGTTACGGACGCGCAAATGAAAAACATAGTGGCCTACCGCTTAATCGCAGAAATAAGGTCGAAAGAAAATCCACCAGAGAGCTTTGCACAATTTGAGGAAGCGATTATGACAAATAGAGTAATACACGGTTTAAGTAGAAGTGTGATCGATCGAAATGATAGACTCACCCCAAACGTGGACGCTTTGAGACAGTTTCTGTTTTATTATCAGACACTTTTGGAGGTCCAAGAAAACTACGGATTCTTGCAACCGTTCAAGGATATCTTCAATGTACGTGGAAGAGCTGATGGACTTTACTTGCCGACGTTTCCAGATAGCGCAAGTAGACGTGTTAGAATGATGGGGCAAGCAATTGGGCAAGGACCAGAGGACCAGCGCACTACTTGGAACCAATGCCCGAATGGGCATCTTTACTTGATTGGCAATTGCGGACAAGCTACTACAGGCGGCACCTGCCCAGACTGCCGAGCTACTATTGGTGGATTATCGCATGCCTTACATGCCGGTAATCGATTGGTGGGAAACCGCGATGCCAATATCAACGTCGCAAACGGTCAGGTAGTCACTGGCTATGTAGATAACCACAATTTGAACGTCTTTGACAGAGCTTTTCTTAATGAGTTCAATGGAAATGTGATGCAATTTTTTGTCCACGCCTCCCTATACATTTGTAACGGAGACGAAGTAATGCTGACCAGATTGCGCACAAATGTTGAGAAAATTGCCAGGACTTCTCTCAACAGGAGTGAAGAAGATGTCTTGAAGTTCCTCTTGACTGTTGTGATAGTGTCTACGAAAAGTAGCATACAGGGGTCTTTTGCGAGTGAGGAGCAGCGCGAAGCATGGGAATCGAGTTTCATAAACATCATCAACAATACGCTGCAAAATTTACCTGATGTCATTGCTACTTATGACGAGGCGTTCAAAAATGATTCGAGAAATGAATCAAACAACCTTCTTGACGTGTTATCAGAACGAACAGATAGAGACACTCGCGATAATGTTCTCGCTAACGGAACATTTTGGCGAAGACTCCCAAAGGTCAGCTTGGCGTGCGTGCGGAACGAACTGAATGCGAATGGTGAAAAGTACAAGTTGCTTGATTGCATATTCAAGAACAAAGAGTGGCTGCCAAAACTCCGCCATATTCCTGATTTATTTGAGTTTTTCAGCAACATTGTCTCATACTATGATCCGGATACCTCGGATAGCGTAGTGACGCTTGAAGATTTCCTGCATCAGCGAAAAATCCAGGAACCAGTTAGAAAACGAATGAAAGATGTTTCAATAATTTTTTGCAAACTGTGGAATCTAGAAGTAAGACACTTGCCAACAACCGGAGGCATCGACTGCTTGTATAAAGATAAATTGAAACCTGACTCTCCTCTGAAGTTCTTTCTGCCGTCTCGTCACGTGAGCGATTGCTGTGCTCTGGTCACTTTGAATATTCTGGTCAGCAAAAACAACGAATTCATTGAAGCTTACAGATCGGCTCTTCACATTGAAACCCCGTTAGTATACATGATAATTTAATTCCAGATACTTTTTTCTAAATCAATGACTGAGAAATTCAATAATTGTGTCGCGATTTTTATGGGATGGAACTGTCTTCGGGCAAGTTTTAGGTTTTTTAAAAAATTTTTTCCCTCTCAAAATCAGGTATCACAAATAATCATTGGATTGGGTTCTGTGATATTTAATTATAAAAGAACGAAGTTATTTTCATTTATATAGGTCGTGATTTTTTTAAACGATTTTTTGTGGTTTGACTTATAATTTTTTTAAAGTTCAGTTTGCTTCCTTTGGTAAAAAGGAAGGCGAACTCCGCTATCGAACAAAAAAAAGCCTTAAGATCACGAAAAACGTGAATGACTTCTGGTGTCAAAAATTGTTTCTCATAATCTGAATTCCTAGTGGAATAAACAAATTATCTATTGACCCGATTTTCTTCAAATTGAGACAATTTTAAAAACATAAAAAAATTGCCAATGATAAACAATTTTTCTTTGAAATTCCAACGCTATGTAAAAGTACAAAAAGTCAAAATTACCACTTATTCAGTTTCTTCGAGTTCTTATAAGTGTCAATGACTGTTGTGGAAGTTTAATTGGTCGTGATAGTTTTTTTGGGAAGAAGTCTTGAAGTTTGTTAACACCAATTTTTACCTTTTGCAGTTAGATTTTTTTGCAGTTTGATTTTTTTTTCAAGTTAGAAAGTTTGTTAGTGAATAATTTTTTAAAGTTAGGCAGTGTGTTGGTAAATAATTCAAAGTTTTGACAAATTCCAGTTTCAATTCGTAATTCTTAGATCCCTAAACAAGTTAAGATTACTCCTAGTTGACCAGGTAAACATAACAAAGTCCAACTGTTCAGAATTGAATTAAATGATTTTCTAGTTTAGTTTCCCAAACTTAACTAAAGTCAAAAGTTGCACGGTTAGTGTTGCCCACATGCTTACAGTTTGCCAGGCTACATTGCCTTGTCAGATAAGTCACGCCCTCCTTCAACCAGCCTCCTTCAACCGCTTCAATTAAACGTCTGCATGAACTCCTATAGTTGCGTCCTGAGTAAAGAAAAGTTATGTCGTCGGTCATTTACTCTCGAAATGCACCTACAAATTTGTTGACTGGTCGGTTGTATAGTCTTGTTTGGGTTTTGTTTGGGCGCTACCTGGATGATGCTGTCATTGCCATCGAAAACTTTAGTAATGAGACCCATTGGCCACATCAAAGGCCGGATGTTGTCCTCCTTCACTTTAACAATGTCTCCAACGGTGAATTGTCTTAATGGCGATGTAGTCCATTTGGCTTTCATTTGCACTGAAGATAAGCAGTCTTCTTCCCAACGTTTCCAGATTTGTCGAACTATGGTGTCAATGGCTTTTTTTTGACGGCTGAGTGATCTTTTCTTGTCCTGTGTCGACGCATTGCTGTCAGAGGTCGTCCTATGAGAAAATGTCCAGGCGTTAGAGCAAGTCGTGATTTTTATATAGGTCGTGATTTTTTTTAACGATTTTTTGTGGTTTGACTTATAATTTTTTTAAAGTTCAGTTTGCTTCCTTTGGTAAAAAGGAAGGCGAACTCCGCTATCGAACAAAAAAAAGCCTTAAGATCACGAAAAACGTGAATGACTTCTGGTGTCAAAAATTGTTTCTCATAATCTGAATTCCTAGTGGAATAAACAAATTATCTATTGACCCGATTTTCTTCAAATTGAGACAATTTTAAAAACATAAAAAAATTGCCAATGATAAACAATTTTTCTTTGAAATTCCAACGCTATGTAAAAGTACAAAAAGTCAAAATTACCACTTATTCAGTTTCTTCGAGTTCTTATAAGTGTCAATGACTGTTGTGGAAGTTTAATTGGTCGTGATAGTTTTTTTGGGAAGAAGTCTTGAAGTTTGTTAACACCAATTTTTACCTTTTGCAGTTAGATTTTTTTGCAGTTTGATTTTTTTTTCAAGTTAGAAAGTTTGTTAGTGAATAATTTTTTAAAGTTAGGCAGTGTGTTGGTAAATAATTCAAAGTTTTGACAAATTCCAGTTTCAATTCGTAATTCTTAGATCCCTAACCAAGTTAAGATTACTCCTAGTTGACCAGGTAAACATAACAAAGTCCAACTGTTCAGAATTGAATTAAATGATTTTCTAGTTTAGTTTCCCAAACTTAACTAAAGTCAAAAGTTGCACGGTTACAGTTGCCCACATGCTTACAGTTTGCCAGGCTACATTGCCTTGTCAGATAAGTCACGCCCTCCTTCAACCAGCCTCCTTCAACCGCTTCAATTAAACGTCTGCATGAACTCCTATAGTTGCGTCCTGAGTAAAGAAAAGTTATGTCGTCGGTCATTTACTCTCGAAATGCACCTACAAATTTGTTGACTGGTCGGTTGTATAGTCTTGTTTGGGTTTTGTTTGGGCGCTACCTGGATGATGCTGTCATTGCCATCGAAAACTTTAGTAATGAGACCCATTGGCCACATCAAAGGCCGGATGTTGTCCTCCTTCACTTTAACAATGTCTCCAACGGTGAATTGTCTTAATGGCGATGTAGTCCATTTGGCTTTCATTTGCACTGAAGATAAGCAGTCTTCTTCCCAACGTTTCCAGATTTGTCGAACTATGGTGTCAATGGCTTTGTTTTGACGGCTGAGTGATCTTTTCTTGTCCTGTGTCGACGCATTGCTGTCAGAGGTCGTCCTATGAGAAAATGTCCAGGCGTTAGAGCAAGTGCATTGCTGCCATCATTATATGGCGTAACAAGTGGTCTTGAAATCAGGATGGTCTCGGTTGAAGCGATAACTTAAGAAACTGATGATCAGAGCTGTGAAGAGTCGTGCGAGCTTCCTTAACTTTTACGGTTGAAAGTTTTTTTTAGCTGTAGACAACTGATGCACTTCATTTGAAATGTTTTGTCCACCTGATTGAGCTTCACTAAGCTCCCACTGGCGTAAGTTTACTTTTTTGATGTCCTTGTTTTTGCTCTTTGAGTTTTTATTCTATCCTTACCAAAACCTACCCTTGTTTCAACACCTGACTGTATCATAATCTTCCCCGGCATCATCGCTTTCTCGTCCGCAAACCTAATTGTGTGCTAACACCATCCCGGGTACTAATACCCCCTGTAACAGTTGTTGCGTATGCTACGTTTTGAACTGCTGCGTGATCATCCAGTCTGAGTTAAGTTCTGCAGTTACTGACAAATTTTTTGATGTAGCATAAGATCCTGATGTAGCATAAGATCTTGGATTTTGAAAGCAGTGAAAACCTGGTCAACAGATCTAAGACTCTACTCTCTTGTTCTACTGTCACCACTGTAACAGATCCGGTGTCTTCATTTGCTGACTTTTTTGTCGCCTCTACTGGGATTGACTCTGCTCTGGGCCAGTTGTCTGATTATTGTGAGAGCCATGTTAGTTCGTTCCATCAAAGGTAATGATATGATAGAATTGACAATGAAAATCCCCGAGAAGTATAATTTGCGGGATGGTTCTTGTTCGGCAAAAATTCTAGCTCTCAGCTTTAAAATTTCTTTAATTTTCGCCACTCATTTACCAACGAATGTCTTCCACTTCCGAGGAATTTTTCGTAACCACGCAATTGTTTTTTGAGAGTCAGTCCAGGCGAAAACGGTTGGTATAATAAACCGCTTGTCGCTGATGGCGGCTAAAATTGCTTCCCATAGTTGTGCTCCGAGAAGTGTACGTGGAACATAAATGTATTTATTACGCCCAACTTGTGTTTTTGCGGCCAATTTTTTGACGTATGTTAGACTATCGCTGGTTTCTTGTTGCATACACACGAGAGCTCCAAATGCCGTTGATGCGTCACAGAAAACGTGAAGTTGAAGTTCTATGTTCGTCTCCGGTTGGTCTTTGGTTGTCTCCAGTAAAAAGAACTCTGTGGGACAACTTGATGTCTTCCAGTTCCTTTAGCTGCCCTCAAAGGCGTCCATACTGTTCTTGTAGTGTTACTGATATCGTTTGATCCCACGAGATTTTGTTCATCCACGTGAATTGTATGAATGATTTCAGTTGATTTATTGTAGACGAAAGCCATCCAGGGGATTCTTAGAGCCTCGTGCCTCCTGAGAGCATTTGTCGTTTGATCACTAGAGACCGTTCGTGTAATTTAACTGCCAAATCAAAAAAATTCTTTCTGGGTTTTGGTTTGTTTCCAAATGTTTTGATGACATAGCTGGATTTGAAATTTGATGTCCAGTTGCGAATTTCAAATCCAGCTGTAGCAAGTGTGTTGATGAATCCATTATGAAGTTGAATTGCTGATTCAATATCTAAAGACCCTGATAGAAGGTCGTATACATAAATCTCGATGAGTGTTGCTATCCAAAAAGAGTCGCCATCACTTTCTTCAGCAAGCACATGAAGAGCTTGTATCGAATGAAAGGCTAAAAAGGCGATTCCATAGGCAGTCCTTAATCTCTTGAGTTTTTTTTTCCCACAAGTTTCTATCTTCTTCCAACTCCTTTTGGCGGTACATCTTCGCAATGTCAGCTGAGAATGCTACCTGATGCATTCGGAAGCGAATCAGAATGCTAAGGAGGTGTAAATTAACTGTAGGTCCAATCATCAGATTGTTGTTGAGTAGTATTCCAGTTTTTGTCTTAGCTGATGCGTCGAAAGCTACTAAGATGATGTAGCATGTAGAAACAGTTACGGCTTGGTCGCAATAGCTCGTTGTCTGGAACTTCTTCCATATGACAAAGCTCGACTACTTCTTTGATGAAGTTATTATACTTCATGTAGAGCTCAGGGTTCCTTACCAAACAAAATATCAAACTATTAAGTCGTCTTTGAGCCTGTTGTAATGCGTTTCCAAGTGATACAACTTCTTCTTTCATAGTCAGTTGTAGCACAAATCAGCCATCTGGCCTGCATTTAGTTGTTGCATTGAAGTGTTACTCACATCTATGCTCCTCTGGTATCCGCAGCATTTTTTGTGGAACTTCCGCAATTCCCAGAATCGTTGTAGATATGTTTTGCTATCGTCGCTGACAAATATCTGTTGCAATGAATTAAGTCCGGTATTGCTGTTTTGTTGTCCAATTACAAGCTAATCGAAAATTCAGGATCTGTAATAAATCGAACCTGCCTGTTCTTTGATTCTGTGGCTTCCAATTATCAGATCCTCCTAGCGAGCTGCTCAAATGAACATGTGGATAGTTGAACCCGGGATCAGCCCATTGTATTTTGTTGACTTTTGTCCATTTGTTGATCTTGATAAGTCTCGAAGGCAAATTGTTGGTCAGCTTCTGAAGAATTGATGCTGTCATTGAGATTGGTTCATTGTATGAGGGCTGGATGAGTACATAATCTTGTCCCTTGTTGTCGCAATCTTCGTTTCCTTCAACTCCACAAATCCTTGTTGTCTGCTTCTGTCTGTGTATCTGAGAAGTTGAAAAGCTGCTTCTGTTATCAAGTTGTTCTGTGATGCTGAATCCATTACACCGCTGAATCCATGAACTATTTCTCCCTTGATCTCGATTGGAATGATGGCAGTTTGTAGAAAGACTTCATCCTAAGAGTTTTCATGAGATGCTGCTCCGGTAAACTTTTTTCATCGTGCTTCACCTTCGCTGATGTCTGCTGTATTTCAGTGTCTGGTCTTTTCACAAGTGGTTTTTGCTCACGATGAAGAAGAGTTGTTCTTCTTTCCACATTTTTTGCAGATAGGTCCAGAACAATCCTCACTTCGGTGTCCTGGTCGAAAGCTGTTTGATATTGATAAGTTAAGATCAGTTTTTCCACAGCATTCGCGTTCGTCCTTGTCTGATGTAGCTATGTTTGTCTGAAGCGTTTTGGTCGTCATGTTAATACCTTTTTTGTCGATTTGTTGATTAGCAATCGATGTCGATCGCAATGAGGATGTTTCAAGAGATTGGCATCTTTCTTAAAACTTATTGAGCTGGTCTTAACGCTGAGGAACTGCTCCTGATGTAGAAGTTGTTTTTTCCGTATTTTAATGGGAGTTTATTTCATCAGACGGTCAACAAAAAAGAAAACCCTGTGGATCCACTGGTTGTCAATGGTTAAGCAAAGCGCACACTGGTTGTCAATGGTTGAGCAAAGTGAATCGCTCTTCCTCTGTTGCTTCCATGAGGCTTCGAAGATTTTTGGAGTTTCCTGTTGTCAATAAATGCTGCTTGAAGATCTCAAACGCGATCGCAAAATCAAACGTTTGTTGTATCAGTCCTCCAGAATGTCAACGGCGATGTCAAAATTGCCATTCGTAATCGTTATGGAATGTAGTAGATTGTCCGCGTCTGCTGTGAGAGATGATTTCAAATGCTGTTGGTTTTGGTTTTCATCAATCTCGTGTTGTCAATCACGGCTCCTTCGAGCAAGTCCATGCACGATTTCCGTTCCATGTATCCTCCAGAGAAAACACGCGAATTGGTTTCGGTAAGTTAACAATTACATCTGCTGATCGACTTTCACCTGTAGAAACTCGTGTTTTGAGCTTGTAAAGAAGCTATTGAATTTGATATACAATTATTGTCCAATTTTTCGTCCAAATTTTCTGCTTCTTGGCTACTCAGCTGTGATCAATTGCTGTATATTGCTGTTGGAGTTTGTTAGCTGGTCCTGTTTTTTGCGGATTTTGATTTCCAGTTGCTCACGACTTGCTACTCCTGTTTCCTTAAGTTTCGCGATTTTGAATGATTGTATTTGCTCAAATGCAGTATTGGGGGACTACGCGTCGATGAGATTTTTGCGTTTGAGTTGCTCTAGATTTTCCGTCATGCCAATTTGGCTGTCTTTGTTTCATTTGGGGTTTTGTTGATTCTATTCGTCAATGGGGACCGTTGAAAACCATGTAGAGTCAAACTGACATAGTCGTGATGAAATGTTAGATGAATTAGTTGGTCGTTGATGCCGGCTGGTTCCAACCCAAGAAGTGTCCAGTAAGAGTCACTCGCCGCAGAAGGAAACGGCAAGACAAAATTCCGCACGGGAACAAAAACCAATCAAAACTACTAAAAACACTAAACTTGAAGGAATCGTAGCGTCGCGCTGAATCACTGAAGTAAAATGTGAAATTATTAGTTGTTCTTCACCTGTTTTTGAAAAACAGTCCAGAAACGTTTTTTCGGACAACTTCCAGAGTCTACCAGGGGTTAATCAACCTTCGACTGAATACTAACCTAATTTTTTTAAGTAAACCTTACTGTAATCCTATCAATTTTAGCCGGTGGACCAGTTTATGTTGACCTATTGCAGTTCTATTTTTTAATTCTTAGATTATCAAGTTAGTTAAGATAATTTTCTAAGCTATGAACATCTGTACGTGAGGAAGCGTAGCGTAGCGCGGAATCACTGAAGTAAATTGTGAAACTATTAGTTGTTCTTCACTTTTTTTTTGAAAAACAGCGCTGAACCGTTTCTTCGGACAACTTCCAGGGTCTACCAGGGTTTAATCAACCTTCAATCTTCAACTGAAAACTAACACTAACCTAAATTTTTAGTAAACCTTACTGTAATACTATCAATTTTAGCCGGCGGACACGTTTATGTTGCCCTATTGCAGTTCTATTTCCTAATTCTTCGATCCCTAAGTTAGTTGAGATTTTTTTCTAGGCTGTGAACATGTGAACGTGAGAAGTTCAAACTGTTCAGAATTGAGTAAAGTTTCACAATTTTAGTTAAAGTCAATAATTGCACGGTTAAAGTTGCTCTCATAGTTACAGTTTGCCCGGCTAGAATGTTTGTAAGATAAGTCACAACACAATGTACTTCAAACCCCGTTAAGTGTTGGATGATTAATTTTGAAGCTGGATTTTGAGATATAGGATATCGAAAGCTTGCAACTTGCAAAAAGAGCAATTTAGAGAATTATTTATGAGATTTTGAGGCATTGTTGTTTTAAATAAACTGAGTGTTGTTTACAATAAAAAAAATAAAAACTGTTTTTATCATGTGTGTTGTGGTTTAGTGCCATGGAATTCAGTAATGGAGTTGTGAAGGGCGAACACGTCGCGTTGGTTTCCAATGTCGACCGGGAGTTGCTGTCGTCGATTGCGAACTTCGCCACCACGGATGCACGAGCAAAGAGAGTGCACTATGACCTGAGTGGGATAGAAGGAACCATTGGACACCATTTGTTCAAGTTCAAGCCCCTCATCAGCATGAAGGTGAATTCTTAAGCTACTTTGAAGTGCCAGTAAACCCATGTGAGATAACCGCTGTGTAACTGTGAATGAGACTATCTTTTAATTGAATAGTAGTGATTGGATTGCGCAAAATTAATGAGCTGTTTGTTGTATAGGTTTCAAATATGAATTTCGTTTTCTTGTGAACCGTTCGAAAGAAATTAATTGTGAATTTCTTGGGGACAGATCTTTTAGCAGACCAATCTTTTATCATAAAAAGGGAAAACTAGTCTTTTGGGAGACCAACGTAATAGAACTGACACATAATTGATTGACAGGCGTAAAAACACGCTCGCTCTTCGTTCAAGCTTCCTTAAGTAAGACACTTATCACACGGTTTGTCAACAAACCTACAACTTCAAAAACAGATTAGTGTGAGTTAGCGCACAATAAACCGTGCCGAATGCTAGCGCAGGGGGATTTTCTCATGGAGGGGCCGAATGATGGAAAACTTTTAACCAAGCATAATCGTTTGACCTTCCTATTGGTTAAACTATTTTAAGAGCCGCCGTTATTATTATTGGTTCAATAGAATGTTCGAACGTTCTTTCGAGGAAAAACCTTCGCGCGCGAATATTCGGTCTAAGTTGACCTGAGGAAAATTTTCTGCATACCTATTTACACTAGCGAGCAGCTAGTGTTTTTGTACAAATCTTCTGTTTTTCTTACCTAACTTGCAAAAAGAAGTGTTTATTAAAAGTGTTTACTTGTGCGCCTTTTTGCTGAAAAAGGATTAGTAGCCTTGGAAAGTTCATAGCATCTCTTCGTGGCTTCATTTGTGACTAGTGTTTGTGATGGACTAATTGTCTGAGGCCGAGTGGATAGTGGGTGAGACTCGTAATTTATAGGTCGTCGTAGGTTCGAGTCCGAGAAGTCACCGAATTTTTACTAACTTATTCGAAGATTGTTTATTTTTTTTGTCCTTTTAGAACCCTAGAGCTGCTTTTGTTGTTTCCTCGCTGATGTTTGTGAAGTGCAGCTTCGCCTCTGTGTATAAAGTTACTATTATCTTGGTGTTATTGCTAATAATGTATCTTGTTGTTAGGAATAAATCCTTATTTAATCCAGTCTTTTCTCGGTTCGTCCACAACGTTGTTTTCTGCAAAGTTAATTACACTTCTTTGCTACAGCTGAAGGACATACATTTATTAGCTCCTTAAAATGATGGTGGCGTTTTTCAACCGAACACTGCTTTTTCTGGGGATTTATTTTTTTAAAGACTTTTTGAAGGAATTTATACAAAAGGGACCCTAGGTTCCAGATAATACCAGTCCCGAGTTTTACTGCATACTTACTGCCTGAACAAGCAAAATATTGCTTGAAGTTTTCCAAATAACCGAAAAACCCACTTTTCGAACATTCGATTTATGTTCGAATGTTTTTGGTGAAGATTCGAAGGCTATTTTTGAACGAATGTTGCACCACTAGTGATTATTATGAAAAAAATGGATTATATCAGCACAGCAAGTTTAGCTGTACAATTCGTGCAGATATAATATAATTAACTTTTTTGGATCAACAGTAAATCCGTTAGTTCTGTATAAAGTATGCATTTTGATCAAACGCACCATTTAAATTGCCTTCCACAATGTTTATTTGGAGTTGCAGCTGAATGCTGTAAAATAACTAAATGAGTGTATTTTAAATCAAATTTTTTTTATAAAACTGTAAATTTTATAAAAATTTTGGCCATACTTAAAGTTATCACTCACAAAATCTAAATTTTTCTCCATCCTTAGTTTGATCAGGGGAATTGGGCACGGTTAATTCAATTTTTTTGTCTTGTTTTTGATTTTCTAAAATATTGCGTTTTCTAGAATCAGTTTTAGTTTTTTTTCCAATACCCGCCTTCGATCTCGCATTATTTGAATTTTCATAATTGGTAGCTATTAATTTTTTTTGGCCTTGATTTATTCGCTTTATTGGAGAATTATTGTGATTTCTTAGATTTTTGAATACGCATTTCTGATTGGCTGAAAACAAGCGAAACTTTCCGTTCCTGCAGCATGAGGGAGGCCACCCTAGCGCAGTGCAGCGAGCGATTTCTTCTTACTAATGCCGCGTTTGACCTAAGTGTTCCTTTGAAGACTTGCTTATTGTATTTAGTCGGCTGAAACATCGATCTGCTAAAATACCGGTTTGCTTAAATACCTTCCACCGAATTTCCAATTAAAGAAAGCTTATAAAGGAGTATCACTGATGTAAAATAGGACATGTTACTTTAGGTGTTTTTAATAAACGGAAAGGAATTACTTTCTGTGAATGTGTGAAAATGTAATATTATCCATATGAAAGTCTTATGGTTTTGTGAAAGTGTTATGATTTCCATTTTCAGGTTATGAAGCTGATGACAAAATCTTCGAGCACAAAAGACGCACTGAACAACGCACGACACTGCATATTAGATGAAACGGTAACTTATCTGTAAACCAGTTTTGTATGACTAATTGCATTCCTTATAAGGGTTTTCTTTTTTATTTTAAAATATTGAATGTCATGCTTTTTAAAAACTAAGCATTGAAAGAAATGACAAAAAAGACAAACATAAAAAAAAATGAAAAGATAAATTCGGAAACTTATTTTAAAAGCGGAAACTTGGTTTAATTTCATTGAAGTTTCTCTTTTTTTCCAGCTTCTATACGAAATTCTGTTAAATTAGTTCTTTTTTCGTGGATCGGAAAAAGCTGTGAAATTTTGGCAATTTCATATATATAGTTTTTCGTCTTATGCAGTATCAAACAGCAGCTCTTAATATCATAATTTAGTTTTCTGTACCATCAATTATTTTCTTTAAACAACACAATCCTAAATGGCCGCGAATGGAATATAGATAAGCTCGTCTTTTTGTGTGCTCGATTTCGACTACCTCAAAAAAGTTCACTGGGGATCAGGTGTGGCATCAAAGGAATTTCTCTTGGTTTTAAATCGAATTTAAGTAATCAGAAACTACCTCAGTACCGAGAAAACTGGTCTGTTTTCGTCTTGCAGACTAAATTAGATGAAAATTGAGAGGCTGATCTCCGCACTAAAATTTCAGTGTTATTTTATTTCTGCAACTTCAGTTATACCGACCTCTCATTCTTGCAGTTTCAATCTGATTCAGTCACCCTATATTAAGAAAAAACTTGGGAAGTTCTGAAAAATGTAAACAAAGTTTTCCGACATTTTTTAAATTTTGTTTCAATTGAACGTTTGTGTCTCAAATTGTGATTATCAAAATGTGGTTATCAAAGCGTAATCAAATCGGAATATAAACTTTTTATAGGTTAACTGGTTTGTCAAATCACTTAAATAGTTAGAAACCTTGTCTCAAATTGAAAAAAACAAGGCGTTAATCCGCAAATGGGGCGTAAAAGTAACGCACATGACTGCGAAGAAAAAACTATGTGATTCGAGTCCGGGAAGAACCTGTTTTTGTAACCGGGGTTTTTTCCGCGTGACAAAAAACTTTGTCGCGTCTTTGTTTGGATGTTTATTTTTGTCGGCTTGGTTGGCGCAGCACGGAGTTTGCCTCAGGTTTAAGCTTTTTTCATTATAATTGAAAATCATTTCAATATATTCCGGTTATGTGCAAGTAATTGTATTACAAAAATTTTCATGTTTGTAGAATTTCAGAAGCGTTTTTTTAAATTTTTTACTTTGTCTTTAGATTCTTTCTTATCCAGAAGAAAGAATAAATAGTTTTTCTATTAAAAACTTGAAAGTTTGTTTCTTTTCGGTTGCAATGATTTGAAAAAATGATGTATATGTCAGCAATACGGCTTATAAAATGTTCCAATCACTTGGTTTGAGTTTTTCAAATTAGTATTTAGGAATCGTAAGGGTTGTAAAATGGCTAAATTGTACCTAGTTTTTTAATAATTAGGTTTTATGAAAACTGAAATATGTCGCGTAAATAAGTGAGGAAATTTTTTTGTATCGCCTGTGTGTTAAATTTTTCCTAAATATGTGGTCCTACCATTGTGGGCTACTTGAACAGACACAGGATATCAGTTTTTCTTCTAAAACTTCTTAATAGGTTGTTAAGAGTCGATGAACGTTGTTCAAATTCTTGTATAGGTCGTGATGATTGGTTTTTAGTTTAATTTTATAAATTTGTTTAGGCTCAAAATTACTTTTTCGCGGTTTGCTTTTTGATTTCTTTTAAATTTAGTTACATTCTTTTGTTAAAAAGAAGGCAAACTCCGATATTGAACAGCAAAAGTGTAATCTTCACTAAAAACGTGATCGACTGTCGAAAGTGGAATTTAGTTTTCAGATTTTCCAGCGAAATAAAAAATTTCTTTTTGTTTTTTTTGTTCCTGTTTTCTCAAGATGGGTTAATGTTATCTTAAAATTGTCAATCTTAAATTGTGCTTAAGCCATTTGTTTTGCTTTGGAATTTGAAAGTCGAGAATAAGTCCGTGTTTTTTTTCTGTTTACTTCCGTTCATCGATTCTATTCTATTTTATTTTGGCTTTACTTATACTAATATTGTCGGTTGTTTCAAGCTGATTAGTTTTTTTTTCAAGGAGAATTTCATGGTTGGGTTGCAGTAATTGTTTGGAATGACTCTAGTTCTGGTGATTTTTGACTTATGCCATCCAATTGTTTTTTTATGGGCGGTCCAACTGGTTTTAAAAAAATTATTTTGGTACGAGCGGTCTTGTTCATTTAGCAATCACACCTCATTTTTTGCATTGTTTTTTATCTTACTGCCGACCCGTGTAAATTTGAGTGAGTCATAATTTTCAGGCTTCGTTCTGTGTTTGTTTTGTCATAGAAGTTGACAAGAAGTGAGGCTAAGAAGATTCAAAACAAGTACACAGACATGCCTGAGGTGTGCAAGATGTTGCGACAGTTGATACTCCTGATGAAGTACATGGAGAAGGATAGGAAGGTTGACCCCAAACAGACCATCGGCGAATTTCTCAAAAATATCAAAATAGAAGCTATGCCAGGTGAACATCGAGATTGTTTACTCCTCTGGGTCGTGTTTTTTATGATGAATAGCTTTAAACTAGACCCAGATTCCTCTACGCGTCTGTTTATTATTAGGCTTTGTAACTGACACTCCGGGCCAATCTTTTTCTGGTTATGAAGTGTGACTTGTTTAGGAATCAGTGATATCAAACTTGAGTCCTGTGTGTTCCTCTGGCAAGCTCTGGCACTTCAGAGAACCAGACTGATGCTGGAGCATCAGGACGAAGAACCATACGCTGGGATCCAACACCAGTTCAGAGAAACCCTCACTTCGCAGCAGGAAAAGGAACTGGACAAGCTGCCCGCGACGAAGAAATATGTGCTGTTGACTTACCTGAATGAGCTGATTGTGCTGAATTTGGACGAACCTGATCTGATGAATCCAAATTATCAGTAAGCTGAACAACATTTTTCAGACCAGTTCTCAAGTCGTAAACAATTCTTGCCTTCATAATTTTTCATATCTTCCAGTATTTGAATGAAAGAACTTAATTTTGTTAGCATATTTTCAACAAAAACTGTCTAGGGCGAATAGCAAAAGTCTAGTCAGAAAACAGCTCAGCTCAAATAAATGGGCTGTGATTCAATGTCCTCTCTGAAAAGCCTTGATTAAGTTTCCAACTGTATCTATAATTTGATTATTTTTTCAGCATTGTGGATGACGCTTTAGCGCCCGTGTATTTCGACGTTGATCTCAACAATCTGAATCTACCAGAATGGTGTCAATTCAAATACGCAGAAGGCATAATCAAACATCTCATCCAAACAGAAAACTGAAAATTTCTCTTATGTTAATCCCCCCTGAAAATTTCCGAATACCCTACAAAAGTTGTAAATAAAATAACTTCAAAGAGAGAGAGAGAGAGAGAGAGAGCTCAACAAAACTTTGATAGATATCATTCCATAATTGTAAATCACTAGACAAATTTCTTAGTTAGATGTATTATATTGACGATGATTTTCCCATTTGCTTTTAATTGATGCCCAATTGGAGTTTGGTTATGCACAGATGAAAATTAATACCCTGTACAGAATTAAATTTTGAGTCTTACATTTTCAAAATCAGTTTTGAACGATACTGAAGAACAGGTTTATATTGAGTATCAATGAAAGAACTGAAAACCTTAAGTTTTTCCTTTAAAAAATGGACAAAAAACCACAGGATATTTCAATAAATTACCCATTGATTTAATTATGCGTTAAAATGGAGTCTCAAAATGATAGAGTCTCCTAAATCTCGTTTAGATCAGATTTGGCTCTCCAGCTAGAAACGTGAAAATGTTGCAAACAATAGCGGTGAATGGGTTAAATTTTTTTGTGAAATACATGTATAATGATCCGGTGTTCAGGTGATTTATATAGATCGTTGTGGATTATCAGCAGAAGCTGCGACACTCACTATTGCTAAAAAGCAGCGAGCAAACAGTTTTAAATAGGTGGAAATGCATTACAGGGCCTTCAGAAAAACAGTTAAATTGGTGACCGAATTACCAAAAACATACAATTTTGACAAAGTCCTGAAACCATCGTAATGTATGACGACTCAACGGCTCTATTAGATGCTGCACTGGAAAAGTACTGCTTAAAAGGAGTGGTATCAATCGCATACGCATCAAGGTTCCCACACATGAGAAAAATAACTCGACAAAGTAAAGGTATTGGGGGTAGTTAAGTGGTTCCCAAGCTTATCACCCCAAGTTTTTCAACTCCCTTTTTCTTAACCTCCTCTCATATAACACCGATATTAGATAATTCCTCTACAATTTAGCCCCTTTTTAATACCAATTGTTAGAATCAAAGTGAAACTTACTTGAAAGGGATTCGGAACCATATCGTCGGTAAACATCCAAGCTTTAATTGCGAAAAAGTTTGCGAACCAAAATGCATTAACAGGAACGCTGCTAAATGAATTTTAGATTTGAACAAAAATGACCTGGCCGATAGTCTAGACTTTGATATGAAATTGAAACGAATCCGACCGACATGATTCAAATTAGTTACCAAAACTGATTAGATTTTTCAAAAACTGAACTTGATCTTGGAACAATTCTAGCCACTAAACGATTAATTGGCTAAATTTCAGCGAAATATGAAAGGATAACTAGTTGTGACCCAAAAGGATCTAAGCGGACCATTTGTAATTGAAATACCGATCATTTTAGAAAAATTTATCTATATTTTCGAACCATCTAAACTTTGTCAACTTGTTTTTGAATTGTCGGCATACAACGCAAGGTTTAAAGGGTTTGCCAGCCCCTAGTCCCAACCTAGCGTACCATCCAAAGGAGTAATTGTTTCGGGATTAAGTTGCTAGAGACATCGTTTTACTGTTTAACTCAATTTTGCCATAGCTCAAGTTCGCCATTTAACCAAGTTCGCCATAGCGCAAAAGAAATGCAAATCCGGTTTCTCTTCGTAAACATGCATAATTTTCTGCACTTTTTGCTGAGCACCCGGTAATTTTTCTTCTTTTTTCTGTAAATTGGTGCCCACTAGAGGCGTTATAGAAATTAAGTGTTTGGACGGAAGCCGTAATGCCGTATGCCGTAATGCCAGCCCTCTACAGCATTTTGTTATTCTGGCCAAACCCGATGATGCCGCATCCCTTCGATTCCATAACGAGGGGGGGGGGGGGGGGACAAAAGGACTTCTCGATTTGGGACGAGACTTTTTTGTAGTTAGATCCAAAATAGGCAAAGCTCGTCAATTTTGCTAGTTTTTCCGACTCTTTTATGGTGCGGTCGCAAACTATTTGAATTTTCTCCACTACTTTATCGTATGAACTTCCTATTTCATCTTTTTCAAAATTCAGGGCGGGTAACTTTTTGAGTGCTAAAGCAAACAGGTGGTTTGTTTCGTAATCCTTTTTCAATCCGAGCTCGGCGATTTTTCTCATAAAATTTTGTGAAAGATGGTAGAAACATCCCGTCAGCTTGGACTCGGAACATCTTTCTGAAACGCTTGAAAAGCGGCCTGCTCAAAATCCAGCAAAATTTTTTCAGGTCAGCTATCAGGGGCTAGTGTTTTTAGGGCTTCTAAGAAACGATGCTAGTTTTTTTCTGTTTTTTTTTGGCAGGAGCGCATATACGCAAGCGGGGGCTATTCCTGAAACTAACGTGTATAGAGTTAAAGTTATAAGGCATTTTCCGGTTGACTTTGAAATATCCATCAGCAAACCAAAAATTGGATTTTTCAAGCACAGGTAGCGTTTCAGGGTCGCCGAATAAAATAATTCTCTCGTGATCATTTTGCCCACTGTCTTTTTTCTTCGGGTTTTTTTTGAAAAATTTAGCTGCTGGGGAGACTGGTAAGACTGCTTGTCGTTGCTTGCGCGCTCGTTGTGCTGTGCGACTTAAAGTTTCTCTATTTGGTAGGACTATTTGAGTGGCAATGTCATCTGTATTGGGCTGAATAGCGGTTGCGACTCCACGGTTGGGGAATTACTTTCGCTCAGATCCTTGATGTTTTTCAAAACTAGTCGAGCATCAGGTTTGCCAGTGAAAATATTGTGATTATAATCACCCCTCGTTTCAATAAAGTTTTCTCCATCCGTAAGTGCTGTTGCGCGGCATTTATGGGTTTGGTATTTCGAGCAGTTCCAGTTTGTGGTTTTCTTCTTTCTTCGTTTAAGGTAATACTTGTGGCCTGATACCACTAGCATTTGTTTGTCTTTTGAAGATAAATTAAAATGGAATGACGCTTCACACATTATATATGACCTGATAGAGTGGTATAACAATGGTTTAATAAATAGACAGTACGTTTTTTTAAATTAAACTCACAAACGTTTTTTGTTGCCTTCATTTAGAACCATGTAGGTTATCTCTGTTTTAATTGCGTGAGTGAAGGATTATTTATCTTACTAGTCGAAATGCAAGTATTTTTAAGATGCAAGAGGCATCAGGTGAATTAAGACTAGCTTTTCAGGCCTCAACTAGTACACTTAATTGGACTACTTCTGTACTTATAAAAAGGACTTTTTTTGAAACAAATTATCGTCATTAAAAGGGGTTATCTTGTTACGGGGTTACAATATAGGGGTTGTAAACATAAGGGGTTGAATACAGTGAGGTTAAAGATTGGGACACTGAAGTTTTAACAATAGTAAGCAACCAACAGGCTCTTTTTAGTGCACTAGAAGCATTGGAAAAATCAAAACAACCACTGAGTCTAACCACATAGATTGATCTATTATTACCAATCAATTTCCATCTTAAAATTTTTGGCAGTATCAATAATGGGACTAATTGATTACATCTCAAAAAAACTATATAACAAAAAGAACTTGTAGTCGCAAAATATTTTCCCTTTTTATTAAAACTAGGTTGCGGCCTTTATATCAAAACAAAATATTCCACGAACTCATTTCATAAAATTGATTGACCCTATTAAACGAAAACACAAAAAGCTACACATTTTAACAAAAGGTTTTCACAAAACGGAGTCCAATAAAAAGAGATAAAAATGGAATGGATACAATAACAACAACTTCCTCGAAAAAGCAAAAGAAGTTAGCAAGACCCAGCAAAAAAAGTTGTCTGCGATTTGGACGACCACATCATAAATTGTAAAAAACAACGACTCTGGAAAAAGACATATCGGTCTCCTGATAGAATCTACTAAATCTTGTTATGAGCACTCGTTTAGTTCAGATTTGGCTCTCCAGCTAGAAATGTGAAAATGTTGCAAACCAAAGCGCTGAATGCATTAAAATTTTTTTCGGAAACATATGTATCGTGATGCGGAGTTCTCAAGCTGTGTTCAAGTGTCAATGAACGAAATGAAGACACTGTATAGGTTGTGGTGATTTTTTGCTTAGTTGATTTTTATAGATCGTGGTGGATTGTCATCAGAAGCTGTGACACTCACTAATGCTAAAAAGCAGCGAGTAAAAAAATTAAATGGGTGGAAATTCATTACAGGGCCTTCAGAAAAACAGTTAATTTGGTGACCCAATTACCAAAAACATACAACTTTGACAAATATCCTGAAACCAAAGTAGATATGACGACTCAACAGCTCTTTTAACTGCAGCACTTGAAAAGTACTGCTTAAAAGGAGGAATATCAATCTCATACGCATCAAGGTTCCTACACATGAGAAATATTAATCGACAAACTAAAGGTATGGGGGTTAGTTTGGTGGTTTCCAAGCTTATCACCCCGTATTTTTTGACTCCCTTTTTCCTAACTCCCTCTCATACAACCCGAAATTAGATAACCCCACTACAATTTAGCCCCTTTTTAATACCAATTGTTAGAATCAAAGTGAAACTTATTTGAAAGGGATTCGGAACCATATCGTCGGTAAACATCAAATCTTTAATTGCGAAAAATTTTGCGAACCAAAATGCATTAACATGCATGCTGCTAAATACGTTTTAGAATTTAACAAAAAAGATCTTGCCGATGGTCTAGACTTTGATATAAAGTTGAAAACGAATGCGACCGACATGATTCAAATTAAAAACCAAAACTGATTGGATTTTTCAAAAACTGAACTTGATCTTGGAATAATTCCAGTGAATAAACGATTAATTGGCTGAATTTTAGCGAAATATGGAATGAGAACTGGTTGTGACCCAAAAATGGATCCAAACGGAATATTTTAAAATGAAATACTGATCATATCAAGAAAAATTTATCTGTTTTTTCGAACCATCTAAACTTTATCAACTTGTTTTTGAATTGTCAGCATACAACGCAAGGTCTAAAAGGTTTGCCAGCCCCTAGTCCCAACCTAGCGTCCCATCCAAAGGAGCGATTGTTCCGGGATTAAGTTGCTAGGGACAGTTTTTTACGGTTTAGCTCAATTTTGCCATAGCTCAAGTTCTCGATTTAACTCAAGTTCGCCATATCGCGAAAGAAATGCAAATCCGTTTTCCTTCGTAAACAAGCATAATAGTCTGCACTTTTTGGTAATTTTTCTTTTTTTTCAAATTGGTGCCCACTCGAGGCGTTATAGAAATCAAGTGTTTGGACGGAAGCGTCTTTTTGCAAATTTGCAATCATTTTTCCTTAT